TATTATCTTGAAAGTGGTAATTACCGTGGAGATGCGATTTCGCGGCTGCGACCTTGTAAGGAACCACCGCAGCCTGTGGTGGCAGTTATTACATTAAGTTCGAAACTGCCTGTATTCTCAGACGAAAAATATTCTATCCATAGCTGATTCGATATACTGGTAATGTTATATTTTCCAAGTAGACGTTCGTTAGTGAAGCAGTACTTTGCGACCTGCGGTGCCATTGCTCCGCCATTCCTGATTACAAACAATAGAAGTAGATTAAATCAACGATTATTTGATAAAGAATATAAAATAGCTTACTTGACAAGAAGGTAATTCTTGTCACAGTTTCTGTCAAGCTCAAGTTTGGTGAAGTAGAGCTTAATCGTTTCTCCTTCAGGAAAATCTACATGCCAAACGCAGTTTGTTGGATAAGAAACGTTTGTTGTAGGTGATCTGATGGTGTGACTTGGTCCTCCTAATACACCACCACAGGATTGCCATCGATATTGTAAATTGAAATCTACTCTTCCTTTTCCATAAGTACCGTTCATTATCTAAAAGTGAACTTATTAAAATTGCTTCATTTTGCATTTAATACGAGAGGCAAATACTTTTAATATACATTCGCGTAGAAATTCTTATAACTATTATACGTGTAAATGACAAGATAAATATTAAAGAAACATTACCGTTAGTTCGTTGATTAATTTCGGGCTTCTCAAATATTTCGCTTCCGTTATATTTCCACATAACATTCCAATATCTACACAATATTTAATATTAATATCTTTACTCTTGATATGATATTATATGATTTGTACGTGTTTTTTTTTGACAATTTTTATGGCGGTAAGAATGAAAAGTTACATTAGTATTTTTTATCTTACCTTGAAGTTCAATTGATTGAGGATAGATGCAATTTCTTCTAACAAGATTGGTACGTTCAGGTCCGCCCAAAAGACCGGTGACTTTTATTGTCAATGTCCATTCCACGCTAGAAGCTCGAATATTTGCGGGTAGTTCCAGTTTCCAGTGGCAATTATATGAAGATTCATTAAAAGGCAGACGTGTGGGTCCTGTTAGATTGCCTTCTAATTCTCTTACATTTCCACCACAAGCTATGAATAAAAATTAATAGATGGTTAAAACTTTTTTTACATTTTGCGCATGTCTAGCTATGCACAAGTTGAATATAATTTGAAAATTTATTTTCATTTAAGTATACTATTGTAACAATAATCGAGCTTTTTAGTCGACATTAACCGGCTAGTGTTTCAATACAGAAAATTTATTGCGAAAAATATTACCACTGCCAGGGTTTGAACCTGGACTTCCCTTCCCTCTAGGCGGGCGTCTCACCAATTCAACCACTGAGGCATGTTGGTGAGTTTTGAGACGCTGAGAGTTTTGAGAAACGGTGAGACGCTTAGAGAGAAGGGAAGTCCAGGTTCAAACCTTGGCTGAGATAATGGTTCTCGCAATAAATTTTCTGTATTAAAACACTAGCCGGTTAATGTCGACTAAAAAGCTTGATTATTGTTATATATTACTGGCAACTTAAAGAAAATACTATTGTAAGATGCATTATTGTCGATAGTAGCTTTTCAAACTTACGAGCCGGAGCATCAGCTGTGTACCGAAGTTTGAAACCTCGATGCCCGGCAGAGGACCAATAGCCGATAATCATAGTATTACTGGAACTCCTTATCTCTTCTGTACTAGCGCCTTGTCCTAAGACTTTGATCTTCGATTTAAAGCGGAAATCGTTATAGAACTGCAGAGAAGAAAAACTTCAGTGTGTGTGTGCTTCCTCTAAAATATTTTTTAAGTTACATTCAAGTTATATTTCTTACCGAAAGTGCATACCCCACGTGAGTAGGTCCAGGCTCGTTAACAACGTCTATATCCAAAATATTCACCACAACTTGATAACCCACCGGTAAGTTGATTCGCCAATCGCAATATCTATGAGATTTCGTTACTTAGATAAAAATTATGCGAATAGCATTCTAATTTTAAATGTACAAAAGATGTACGTACTAATATTATATCATATAATGCACATTTACCTAAATACTTTTAATTTCGTTATTCCTCAAAATAGTTTAATGACTTTTTATTAAATATATTGTTATCATGTTTTACTTTACACATATTTCACTAATTGCCTGAAAACAGGAATTTCGTTTTCTAACAAAAATTTACCTTGCTCTTGTGCGTGGATTAGGGTATCCAGGTGATTTGATGATTCCACTCAGTGCGGTTAGTGAACCACCACATGCTGCAAGCAAATAATATATGATGTAAATATTTCTATAAAATTTGGAATTATAAGAATTTGCATATTAAATAGAGTTTGTTTTACTAACTTTCTTGGCTAGCAGTGAAGTTTAGACTAAAGCCTTTGTAACTCACAAATTCTCTGTTGTCACTCGTGAAATACACATACGCTTTGTTTGACGATGTCTCGATTACTTCCGGTTTTTGAAGACCGCAATAAGCACCAATTGTTGAAACTATTAAAAAATATTTTCATTCATTATGCAGTATGTTACGATAATAAGAAAAGCTTATCCGAATTTATGTAATCAGCTGTTTTCAGTAATTACTTACTAGTATTATTTTCTAAAAGTTGTTCCTCAATTCTGACGTGATCAGTCGAAAGGCATTGACGAAAGCCAGGAAGCTGTATATCGCGAAATTGTAATTTCAAGTTATGATCTGTTGGTGCTATTATTATCCACGAGCAATTTTGATTTGGAGGATATGAATGCGGATAATTCGGAGATTCAATGACACCACTGGCAGCGCGCAAAATTCCGCCACAAACCTCTATACAAACATTAATACATAATTTTGTTATATTTGATTACATTACATATTTTTGTTACCTTTTCTTATTCTTAATACAAAATTATATATACAGTAAACATCTATATTGTTCAATAAAATAAAAAGGGGTTAATTTATAATTTATCTTGATATTATAATAAAATATATTTATTCTTAATGCTTACCTCCTGAAGTAATTACAGCTTTGAATCCATTCTTAGGTTCTGCCACATCCGTATAAAAGTGGACATACACCATGTTGCCAGTAGTACTCATACTACTGGGTGCTACGTCTCTACAAAATTTGCCCATGAGTCGCGAGCCGTCGGTTCCACCGTCTCTTATTTCTACGTATTCTTTGTCGCAACTAAAAAAATATTGTTACTATAGAAACATTATCTTCAGCAAATCGAATTATAAATAAAGAAATAGAGAAATAAAGAAAAGAAAATTGAAATATTTTATAATTTGCTGATTTTTTCGGCAATAATCATGTCTCACTTTTCGGAAGCACTCAAATCAAATCTATCCAAGAAATGGATAGTGAGCCTTTCACCAGCTGGAGCAGTAGCCTTCCAAATACATTCGGCATAAGTTGGAGGAATATTTGGATAATTGGGCGATGTTATCTCCCACTTCTTCTGCTTGTTTGTTAAGATAAAGTCGCCACCACAATTCATGCTTACTTCTCTAAAGTGTGAAAAGATATGAGATAAAAAATTTAAATAAACATTTTGGTTTATGTTTCATTAATGCGTAAAGTATTGTATAGGTATATCGAAAGAGAAATATTGATTTCATATACGTACATACAGTACACATTAGTATATTTGTCAATTTAAAAAATTACTTTATGCAAAGGCTACCTGTAATTGAGCTTAAAACCAAAATAATGGCCGCTGCCAGTAGCTTTAATATAGAAGCGATTTCCGGTGGTTTCTAGTTCCGCTGGTGTCACTGTACCACAATATTTTCCGTTGCCTAACAGAGGCGAAAGCATTTCATCTCCATTTTTTAACTAAAATTTTGTATATATATATGTGTGTGTGTATAAATTATTTTCTTAAATTAAGTTCTCTTTCCCTTAGACATTTATTTTGTTCATAATTGTATTGTAATTCTAAAGTTCAATAATATAATGTATTATACTAACCAGCAAGTAATTATCACCGCATGATTCATCGGACATTTGTTGTATCGACATTTCGGTAATCTGAACTTTAATAGTTCTACCAGGTCTCACTGTCACGGACCACTCACATGTGAAATGCCATGTGCGTATCGCTTTCACAGACGAAGAATTATCATATTCAATTACACCGTTGGGTTCGGTTAATCGACCTCCGCAATCTGTAAATATTAATGAAGAATGTTTACGGTTTATATTTTTATAAAAATTTGATTTGGTTAACAGACAAATGTAAGGAACCTCGATGCACGTATGCGTTGAAGCCGGTTTTATTTTCAAACGAATCCGTGTCAAATTTCACTGTCATCACATTGCTCCCGCTGATTACAGACATACTGGAGTTTGCCAGGCATAATTTACTCTCCAAACGAGCATCGGTTGTCGATGTCAATGCGTATCCCGAATAAACGGAAACCGAATCCGCTACGCAATCACTCGTTTCTTCCAAATCCATTGTCATTATTCTCAATACCAAATGTGTTCCAGGTGGCGATGTAAAGACCCAATTGCAATGCAAATTACCAGCATAGCCGGTCGGCCAACCAGGAGAACTGAAGGAATACGTGTTATTGCGGTCACCCATTAAAGCTACTTCTTTGTTGCACTCTGACACTATGGACAAATAAAATTAATTGGAATTACTGTAAGCATATGAGCATATTTTATATTACAGAGAAATAGTATTTAATTTGAAATAAAAAATATTAGCGTGACGTCGAAACTAGCTCTTGTATTAACATAAAGAGAGTTGATCATTAAAAACATTTTATTTAAATTTAAGTATACTTAATAGAAATTTACATTTGATCTCCTTGTTATCCCCTTCGGTGTTTCTTGGTATCTGAAGCCATGTGAGATCAAACCAATTCCCCTGTCTGACAATACCCGACGTCATCGTAATAAAAATCACATTGCTGGACGACTCTATCGGATCTGGTAAAGAATAGCCGCATACTTCTAGTAGGTTTGGTGCTTCGTCATCATATCCATCAAATATCTAATTAAAAATTGATAAACTTGCTTAAGGGCTAAAATGATACATAACGTTTTGCATCAACTTTGTTGATGCCAAGCTATTAGGCATCAATGTGTAATGTTTAATAATATCAATATTTAATAATATATATAACACTATATATCGTTAATGTTAAATAAAACATATTTATGTTACATATAAATATCGCCTAAAATATGTTTACTATTTACATTTTGTTATACCCGTGATAAAGTATCGATACTTGCTTTGATAACGGAGAAACAATATTCGCCGATGTTTTCTATCTCCAAATCTGTGAATTCAACGCGTATAAGCGAATTCATTTCTACAGTGACGCGCCATGAGAACGTAGCGCTTCGCCTGTACGGTAATGGATATAACGGCGAGGTAATGCGTCCTGTAGGTCCTTCGAGTTCATTCCCTCCGACGATATTATATTCAGCCTTAAAACCCCTGGCAGTGCCGGAATCGTCGCTCTTAAACTTGATCCATAGTTGGCTGCTGGACGTAAGTTCGCTGGCATCTCTGCCGCAAGAAACACTAATGAGCTTTCCGATTCCGCTATCCTCCCGTATTTCAAGATAGTCCATATCGCAGTTTTCGCTCGACTCGATATCGAACTCGGAGAAGACGAGAGCGATCTTGTTCCCGGGGGAAGTATTCAGAATCCAAACGCATTCTGCGTTCAGGGGATAACTATTCGGATAACCGGGCGAGGTGATTATTCCTTGTTCGGATGTGTAATTTCCGCCGCAGCCTGAAAAATAGAAATAAAATTAAAAACTTCTTTTAATTATCTTCTAATACGTTTGCGCAACTTTTATGTATTTTCATTCATTGTACCTGTATTCAGTACCGAGTAAATAGCAGCGAAGTGACCTAAGAACTCATAGTGTACGACTAGATGCAGCGTGAGCGAACTTCCGGTACTCGTAATCGGCGGTGGCGAGACATTGTTACACCATGTTCCTAAAACTGGTCCATCTGGGCTTTCGCCCTCTGTTACCTGGAGGAAGAGCCACGTACAAGAATTTATTAACTCGAGATAATCCGATCGAGGTTCCGCTCTAATTTCCAAGGACTCAATATCCATATGCGTAAAAGTGATAGTTATATGATCGCCTGAAATAAAGAATAGATAGATAAAGCGATTGGTAGAAAAATTTAGGCCGGTATTCATAGTCGGATCTTCTATTCAAGACCGTCTTGAATTTATCTAAAGATGCTGTATGGAACATTTCATTGGCTACGGAGTATCTAAAGATGATCTTAAGACGGTCTTGAATATAAGATCTGACTATCAATGCCGGCCATAGAAACAAATGCAAATATTTCTTCAAGCGAGCATGCAAAGTAGACTAAATTACCTGGATTTTCTGCTACCAATATCCATGTACAATTAGTGTCTCCTTGCACGTCGGTATTGCCAGTCGGGGGCGTAATGTAACCTTGATCCTTTACAATTATACGAGCACCGCAGGCTCTAGTGTATTGAGCTTTGAAACCTTTGGCTGAAATTAAACTATCGCTCCGCATAACTACTAGCATTTGATTACTACTCGAAACATAACTCGGTGGTAATTCATTACTGCAATGCATTCCCAATAACAGATCATCTTTCGTTGCGCCATCAAAGATCTACGAAAATGGAAAACGCAACTTAATATCTGACATTGGAATTAGTTGAAAAAGTAACCGGCGCTATATTTTTATTTAAAAAATTGTAGGATACCTTGACGGAATCGTCGCTGCAATTGTTAGTGTTCTCAAGATCAAAGTCCAGGAACGTGAGATTCACGAGGTGATTGCTGTCGACTTCTATCAGCCATTCGCAATTCTGAATGTCCGGATAATTCTGCGGATAATTAGTCGAGTGAATAATGCCCGAGATTGTTGTAAATTTACCACCGCATCCAATAGGAACGCTCTTATAGCTGGCATTGAATCCTCGATTAGCGTACGATGAATCCGAGTGAAACTTGACGAACATTTTGTTCCCAGGACTAGTGAACGTCACTGGCCTCTCCGAATAACAAAGCTCGGCTAATTTTGGCGCGTCCGTGTCGTCGCCCTCGTAGATTTGAATCTTGTCGAAGAAACAGCCTGTGCGCTTCTCAGTGTTCACCTGAAGAACAAAAGTTTTCATTTTTACATTACGATAGCGCCAGGTTACTGTTACAACGCAGCTTCTCTGTGAACTTTCATATAATCTTCGCGTATACTTGTTTAGACACCTACATCGTAAAATGTGAGCTCGACGCTGTGCGTGTAATCCACTTCGATTAGCCATTCGCAATCGACATTCATTGGATAAGCTGACGGATATCCAGGCGACGTGAACCTATCGTACGGTTTAATCAAATGCCCGCCACAACCATTCACCGTCCATTCGAGCCGAAAACCGTTGAAGGCAATAAAGGAGTCCGTAATAAACGTTATAAACATTTGATGTTGCGTTGAAACAATTTTCTTTGGGAGGATATTCCCACAGAAATGACCCAGCTCGGTGTTAGGAGTATTATCGTCGCCTTCCGAGATTTGGAGGTAGTCATATGAGCACGACGGGCCTGATACTCCTTCGAGATCAAAGTGCGATATAGTTAAATTAATCGTGTTACCAATTGGAGCTTCGATGGTCCAACTGCAGTTCATCGAGTGCTCATATTTATTAGGGAAATTCGGTGATTCTATCACACCGTAGTAGCCACGTAATTTGTTGTAGCACTCTGCATCATAAAAATGACAATTTAACAATACAATAATTCGACAATAAGTATCAAATAATCAAATTTAACAAATTAATATTAATAATAAAATTCTCGTAAAATTTGTGACTGAAAAGACTAAACTTAAAAGAAAGAGCAATACACAATAATTAATAAGGAAAGGATTTTTAGGTATTTAAAAGTAAAAATTTCTACTGATTTACATATGTCACATAACACATCTAAAATAATTTTAATTTTTTAAATAATTTTCTAAGATGACATTGGTACATGTATACGTACGCGTTTCGTACTTCAGATGGAAACCGCGGCCGGAATTACTGAAGTCGCTGCGGAACCGAACGGTCATTTGATTGGATTTGGATTGAATAATCTTTGGATAGTTGGAACCGCAATAACGTCTTCTATTTGTGCGACGACTGATTCCGTCAAATATTTCAAGAAAATCATAACGACATTTGGTATGTTCCTCAAGATCGAGATCCACTATTACGAGTTGCACTAAACTACCCGTCGCCACAGCGATCTTCCAAAAGCAATCCGCGTTCACTGAATAAGGTTCAGGATAATTTGGAGATATAATATCCCCAGCAACTGCGGTCAAGCTACTACCACAGCCTGTGAAATGAAGAGTACAAATTCAAATTAGAGAGAAAAGACCATAGAGCACAAACACTTCAAATATAACGATGTAAATATTCATATTAAGCGTACGCGTTGGTCCTTTTGGATTTTTATCAACACAAAAACTAAGTGACTAATTATATAGAATAAATAAAAAAGAAAAATGAAAAGAACAGGAGACGCAGTCACATGATTAAAATGAATCACTAATAATATAAAACGAAAGGAAAGAGTCGTAAATTAAAATATGTTGACCATTAGTTATCGAAATCCACTTGGCTATTGTCACTCTACTCATCCAAGGAAAATCATAAGAAAATATAAATATAGACAAGAATTGAAAGGAAAGAAAATGGAAGAGAATGAATATTTTATGTATGCTTTTACCTTGCGTGGTGCTATCCCATTCTATTTCGAAACCTTGCATTGATCTCGAGAAATCCGAGACGAATCGAATATACATTTGATTGGCTTGACTCGGTATTTCAGTAGGTATGTCTGTGCCACAGAATTTGCCAATTAACGGCGCGGATTCATGTCCACCGTTCCTAAAATGTAAAAAGCATAAAATAGCAAATTGCAAGGGTAATAAGATTAAATTCAAGTCCATTACCTAATTTCTAAGTAATCGAATGCGCAAGATATATGTCTTTCCAATTCAAAGTGATTGACCGTGAGAATGATTCTAAATCTGTTCTGTGCTTCGATGATCCAAACGCAATCCTTCTTATTTGGGTAATAATCAGGGTAATTTGGCGATCTAATAACGCCGTTTGTCTTCGAGTAGTGACCACCGCAGACCTTCGTTACATCCATGAAAATATATGTAGCAACGAATCCTTCACTTGTAACACTCGAATCAGTGTGGAAGAGTATGGTAAGTGTACGTTCTTGTGTCGTTAAATCAGGCGGTTTAGTGCTACCGCAATATCTAAAATGTAGAGTTGTAATAATTGAAAAAGCCATTGAACAAGAAAAGTTCAGCTGAAATAATTGCAGTACGTATGATAGCAATAATATAATCAATGGCTTTTTATATACAATTTGAATGCCTTAGCACTAGTATCTGTTTATAACCGTAAAAATTACAAGAGATTAATAACGTCATCGTACGTGGCTAGTATGTCTTGGTCGGACGAGGTGTAGTTTTCGTAAACGTTGACGTAATCGCTGTCACAGCTAGAATGGTATTCTAAATTAAATGACATCCAACTGAGGTGTATTACGTATCCTGGCGGTGCTTGAATAGTCCAGATACATTCCTCGTTATTGGAATAAACTCCATTTCCAATAGGAGGCTGAATCACACCAGTTGATTCCTTCAGCAATCCACCGCATCCTTAATAAAAGACAATAATATCAATACTTACTTTGTTATTCTCAAAAAAAGCTCTATTTTGTGCAAAAATTTAATTACTGTACGCAGAATAAACCTATCACATTTAAAACTATCATATCAAACTTTAGTTTTATAACACATCGCAGCAAAGAGCTTACTTACTACGATCGATGGTTGTGTAGTTTGCTTTGAAACCTCGACCATCGATACTGCTATCGGTAGTAAACTTTAAGTACATGAAATTATGTGTAGAATAGTAACGAGTATCTGACATGATTTCATCGCCGCATAATGTGGCGAGTTTCGTCGCATTTTCGTTATCGCCGTCGAAAATTTCGACGTAATCGTAGTAGCAGTTCTGATCACTGCCTTCGATGTCTATATCTTCTATAGTTAATATAATTCCTTTCCCAGGCGGTTGTATGATTTCGTAAACACACGTTCTCGAGTGATGATACGCTTCCGGATAGAAGGGCGACTTGATAATTCCGCTACTCTCGTGGAATTCACCGCCGCATAAAGTTTCATACGATAATATGAAACCTTCCCCTTCATAAGACCAATCAGATTTAAAAAGTATAACTAGATTATTCGAATTTGACTTGACCACTGGCGGTATATCTGAACCGCAGTATCTACCGAGTATTCGAGAAAGTGTGTTAGGTCCATCGTAAATCTGAAAAAAAAGTATAAAAGTTACAATTTTCTGTCTTTCTATGAAACGAGACAATAAAAGTAGAAAGGTTACCTCGACAAAATCAAACTGACAATCGGAGGAAGCTTCAAGCTCAAATTTCAGCCAAGATGCTCGGATTCGGTCGTTTGCTGGCAATTGTATCTTCCATTCACATTCCATGTTTGGCTGATACGATGACGAGTGACCTGGTGAACTGATTGTTCCAGTGGCACTAGTATAAGTTCCACCACAACCAGGTATACCTAAATATTACGAATTATTTGGACCGAACATTCAAAAAATAATTTGATATGAGTTATAAAATTTTTCTTTTTAAATAATGTAATTATACTTAAACTATATACACATAGGTTGTGTTAATAAATACCTTCAATCATTGAGTAATGGATTTGGAAGCCAGCATCTTGATTAGAACCATCAGAATGAAAATGAACAGTTGCTTCAGAAGCCGGTGTAGTCAGAGGCGGTGGACGAGTGTGATTGCAAAATAATCCTAAACGTTCGTCTTCCACACCGGTAATCTATATAATGCCGGATATCAATATTAATAACAAATACTAAAACATGTATAATTATTTTATGATTTAGAAAATTTAATAATATACAAAGGAGAAATATATAAGATATTTTATAATTGATGAATAAAGTATTTACTTCAACGTAGTCATTTTCACAATTTTGCTCGAGCATCAGCTGACCAAAGTGGAATTGAATCCTCTTCGAGGCAGCGACAGAGATTCTCCAGAAACAATCTCTGTTAGGAGGATATCTTCCAGGCGAACCTGGAGACGTGATTGTACCGTAATTATTTTCTAAAACACCTCCGCAAATAGGATCGATGCTATTCCAACGAAGAGTGAATCCGTCATGAGATATGCTGTTGTCCGAATGGAACCACAAGTACAGAGTGTTATGGGACGAAATGATTGTCCCGTTATCGTTAGGCAATGTGTGACCGCAGAAACGATTAATCATTTGACTACCAGCATTTCTACCATCGTGAATCTAAAAGTGTATACGTGCCTTATGGAGACAATATAGTTTTTCTTATTTCTATCATTTTTCTATCATTGTAATTATTTATATTCCAAGACTTAAGAATATCGAAATTTATATAGCATATTAAAAATTAAAAAGCGCTACGAAGTCTTTAACATTAATCAAAGAGCGTTGTAAAAATTCAAATACCATTCAACTCTGACAAGTGTTTAAAAGGTCTTGCAAAATTCATAGTTCTACTGCGAGTATACAGTAACTTTAGTGATAAATGGCAAATTTTTTTTGTTGCCTCTTGATATGCAACATTAAACGCACCTGCAGAAAATCAAACTTGCAATCTGTAGACTGCTCGATACTAAAAGTCGTAAAGGTGACGTTCAGAACCTTAGAGAGTTCCGTGATTAATACCCAAGCGCAACTCAAGCCATGCTGGTAAGTACTACCGCCCATGGGGAACTGAAGTGTTCCCATGGGATTCCGTAACACACCGCCGCACGTTTGCCGTGGCGTTTCACACCTGTTCCCTGAGAAGCTAGTTGTACACTGACATGCTACCTGTCCGTTTAAGATGGTGCAAATACCGTTATTTCGACAAGGATTGGGTGAGCACGGATCTGCTGGTATGTTGCATGTAGGCCCTGTAATTTAATAAAAAGTATAATATATAAGCGCAATTATATAAATATATAAAATACATAATTCTTGCTACCCCCCTTCAATTCTTAATAAATTATAAGAATTCCGTCCCAGTCACACAATTCAGTTTTGTATAAATTTAAACTGCAGTTTTAACGTTATAATTTATATCATTGTGCATTTGTCAAGAACAAACAAATTTCATATCTTATTATTCGTCATGTCTGATTGTGAGAAACAGAGCGTTATAATTTACGCGAGCTGATTCATGGATCCATTCCCCCTACCTCTCACTTTCGTCCCTAATACATACCTGAGTATCCCGAATTGCATGTGCAAGTGAAGCCATTTGCACCGTTTGGTTCAAATACCGGCACGCATGTGCCATGAACGCAAGGGTTGCTGGAACAATGTGAATTAAGTGATACATCAGCTAATCGGCAGCCGTTTGGTCCCATTCCATTACCGACGTAATCCGGTGGGCAACGGCACAGCACGTAAGAACTTGTAAGCGATGGATTCTCGGTGCAGGTAGCTAATGGATGGCATCCGCCGTTGTTGATGGCGCAACCGCCGACAAAAATGCAACTCACGCCATCGCCACGGTATCCTGGAGGACAAGCTCCACATGTTCTGGAACCCTTAAAGCCATTACAATGAAATAAGTTGCCGTTGCAGAGAATTGTAACACGTTCATCTATTCGCTTAATTTATCCTCATCTATTCTTAGACATTAAGAATATGACATTTTTTTTAACACAGTCGTTTACTTTATTTAATATATTATGCAATACGTTTACCATTGTATTTACGCATTGTACATAAGGAGAGGTACTGCAGCCACCGTTGTTAGTAAGGCACTCGTCAATGTCGGTGCAATAGTAGCCATTTCCGCTATAGCCGTGCGGACAAGCGCCGCAAGTGAATGAACCGCGAGTATTGCGACACGGTACCGGTGGATTTACAGAACAAGGTGGATGGGCCGCTGCGCATTCGTCTACATCCTTGGTGCAAGCTGGGCTTGTACCGTCGCTCTCCCATCCCTAAGGAATGATAAATAAAAAAATCGGTGCTTCTGCTGCAAAGTAGCAATTTATGCGTAAATTTTACTTAATATAGTAGCTAGCAAGATATTGAAGAACGTACTTGATCGCAGATGCACGTATATCCAAGTGAAGAACTGCTTTTTGCGACGCATACACCGTGCTCGCCGCAAAGCGCTTCGGAATTCTCCGTATTGCAAATCGATGTTTTCTGCGTGCAATGAAGGCCAAACCATCCCGGCAAGCAGTCGCATCTAATAATGTCCAAACCAATACCACGTACGGTCATATTCCATACAGTACATCCGAGAAATCACAACATAAAGACCACTCGCGAAATTCAATTGAAATATTGGAAACAATACAATTTTAGAACATAATTTAAATTGCTCATCCGAATTAGTTATTCACATTATTTCTTTGGAAAATCTTTTCTAGCTTCGCGTATTAAATTTAAACAATGCCTTTCGTAATGTCTCTTAAAAAGAAATCTTGTAACTCTTTCAATCCGAGTCGATTGCAAATTAGTTAAACTTATCCGTAATCAAACAAAGTGCGTGGTTTTGCTGCTTCGTGCATGAGAAAACGTGATTGATACCGGTAAGATCCAGGCAAATTACGACAAGTCGCTCCGTTTTGACATCCAAGATCCGTACCAAGAAATCTCGCGCACTCGTTGACGTCCACCATACAGTTCGAGCCCTAAAATCGTCGTAATTACTTCCACTAAACACAACTCCTTTCAAAGTACGCTCGCATACCTCCCAATTTGATGGACAATGACACTGATAGCCATCGTAGAGATCTTCACAAGTACCTCCATTTTGACATGGGTTACTCTGGCATTCGTTCTCTCGCAATAGTATTTGCATGGCTCTTAGTGCGTCCTCTAATGCTTTTAGCTTCAAAAGTACATTTACACATTTTTATTTTATCCTACAGGACACATTATACGTATATGTCACTCATTGTACATAGATTCATGAATTATACATACTCGGACGTTGATACGACGAATGCTGCTTCTGGCTGTGCCCGGCAATGAACCAAAATTCTGAAAGATTTAATACAAATTATTTAATTATTTAATAAAAATGAAACTCGATATATTTAAATTCACATTTAATTAATTTCTTTTAATTCTGATTATCGCCAGTTGAATTGCTAAATTATAAATTGAAAAGAGATAACAATTTAATATTGTAAAAATTATGAAAGCTGTATTTGCATTATAATTATCTCTTTCTTATTTCCTTCTACGAAATAATTCTTACACTCTCTCTTTTTGTTGGAGCGCTGGTATAATTTGCTACGGGGATATGAAGAAAAATATGTCATCGCAAGCTGTTGAGTCAATACTGCGCACTCTTACCGGTATATGTGATCTGTTTCCGCGAATCGTACCGTTCGTGTCGATACTTCTCTCGAGGAGGGCGATTCTTCTCTGTAAGCCTGTAGAGCCTGTCACTATAGTTGTTAGTTGGTGAAGAGAGTTCTCCATCTCGGCTAAATATCCCATCCGCCACCTGTCGATGACCCGCGTGGCGTTTTGGGCCTAAAAAGCCACAAAGCGTTGAATTAATTATATCCAAATTATGCTGGGCGTATAGGTATGTATTTATTCATTACCGCCGATGCTACGTGAAGCAGATTGATCTCGTTGACGTTCACGTAACCGCCCCCCATTATCTTCAACGTAATGTTTCTGTCCTTTGCGCTCGAGATTATGAGATGTCCATCCCGAGACTCCAAAACGGGTCTAAATTTTATATAAATCATTTATACGAGTCTAATTGTGAGGAAAAAAAGGCTTATAGAAATTCATCAAGAAAAATCACAATTTTCATAAATCACGCATCGATATCTATTCTCAATATATAATAATTTCTTTTGCTCGATAACATTATATAAATGTAAATGTGATATCGAACAACGGACGATGTTCACTATATATTTTTATTAAGAAACATACCTCTCATCCATCCACGCTGCGCATAAACCGAAATATAATAACAGGAACCACATCGATGCAAAAGCCATACCAACAGCAACTCAGTAAACCAAATATTATTCTGTTATACCTTGTCGGATTCTCGCGGAACTTTCACCGAAAAAGACAGGTCGTGACAGACTGATCCGTGAGATCGGCGTTGCGGCCGCCTGCATCTCTGGATGGGCGTATTTGAGAGATTTATCGAAATCCACCCAATATCGGTTTACAGTCGCCATAAATTACATATACCGTGCAAGATATACATAATATAAAAAGCAAGTAGTGGCGCGATTATATTATGTAACATTTTTTTATTGTCTACCACGTAACTGTACTTGTCTAAATTTAGCTTTAATAGAATTAAACAGAAAATAGTCGAGAAACTGAACGATTACGTGCATGCAACTAATGTACAATTACCGTACGATTGTTGAGAACTCGGTAATATAACATACATACATACATACGTACTTATGTGGCGAAAAAATAAAAAGTCAAATTATTAACTGTATATGGATAGATTATAAACAATTGGAGTAAAACTGGCGAACAATTGGAATGAATAAAACAATCATAAGTATGCTTTTCGTTAAATATATTAATTAAAGTGTGCAAGGTAAAAAATATTATTTTAAATTTCGTGATGCGTTTAATAACAGATTCTCTAAACTTCGAGATCTGTTCTCCTGCACCAATTTCTATAACGTGTATTCTTGCAAGATTGTAAGATCATGAACAAAAAGTTATCAATGAAGAAAAATTAAGTAACACGCCTCTCTCTAGCAACTATTAACCAATAGATATTAACAACATTTCCTTGCTTATTTAATTTTTAAAGGTCAATTTACTTTTATTTTACACAAATATTATCTTCAATATACATAAATGTTTCGTTTCTTCATCGCCCACCGTCCAAAAGATGAGCATCACAACATTTCAATAAAAGTTTTATACCAAAAATAATAATACTTAATGTTTGTTACAATATTATTTTATTTCTTTCCCTTTTTCTCTTATCGCTATTTGTCTAATCGTAAATAATAAAGTCGGAAGTTTTAATTATTTACAACATGTTATATGTAGTATACAATATTATAATATATAGCATCATCGTGGTGTCGATCTCTAAAAAATATATAATGTTCTTTGCGTCTTCGGAAAACCTTATATTTTCATGTCACGATCTTTATGCGTGCGTGCGAGTGCGCATAAATCAAATAAGTACACATTCTCCAGTATTAATTAATTCATTTAGTCTAATCTGTTTTAATCCATTCATTTTCAAGCAATGGATCTATGAAAATTCATGTTTATTTGCAAAACTATGTGTTCTTAAATTCCAACATGCATTTTACAAAATGCAGATCTAATGTAATTTCTATATATTATACACAGATCCATTATGTCAATTTAAAGTAAAAGACTCGTTTAAATTAAACGGCCAGCGTCATTGATTGTGGAAACTAACTGATTGCCAAGCCGATGCTCATTAATTGTTCGCACAGAGCACGACACTAAACACAATACACGATACTCGTACAGAGAGTACGACACTTCCGAGAGAGACGCAGCTACGCAATGACGAACGCAGAATAATAGCCGTTTACCCGTTAAAATCAACGGAGCGGGTACGGCGTGTTTTTACTTGTTCGTTCGTCATAGTTTTTTTTCATGTTTTTGCTAAACCAGCGCGCGTGCCGCTCGGCAGTTGTTTACGTCGAGCCGTCGAGCCGCCGCGCCGCCGCACGCCGAGGTCACCGAACGTTCTCTGTGTCGCATTATCAGTCGGACCGCCGACACGAGTGCTACGGGGCGGTGTGCGCGATCGTTCTCCGTGTTAATTAAACGACGCCACGACTGCCCGGTCGAGCTTTTCGATTCCGCGCGTACCGCGGGACGTCGTCAAGTAAGAATTGTGACATTCAAACGTTGCGCGTCGTTGACTGAACTCGCGTAGTACCGCGCAAGTGCCGCCGGGAACCGGCGCCATGTTGAGTAAGCTCCGCGACACGCAGTGGTTCGTTCTGGTTCGTTCTCCCGTGCTCGACGATCGTCGCGACGCATTTCACGAAGGCACGCGCAACGGTGGTGAGTTTGATACTGATCAAGTGTAACAATCGCGGCGTAGACTCGATATTCGTGCGTCGGCGATCCACGGAGACGCGTATTTCGCGAGGAGCCCGGAATCTCTTGCACCATCGCCGTCGCGCCGCGCCGTGTCCTCGCGCGACGCGAATACACCGCGAGCTTCGATTTCACTCGGTATCTCCTCGCGCGTGATGCACGGCGAAAGGAATGTTGGCGCGGAATCGCTGCGTTGACGCCCGCGTTCGGTCTCTCGTCTCGTGAAACGCGCGAGGTTAGCCCCGCGGATCTCCGAGTCCATTTCGCCGAGTCTTTCCCGCCAATTTGCGCGACGCCGCGGATCGCATTCCCGCGCGTCTCTCTCTCTAGCTCTTGTTGCAACGAGTCCGCGTCGAATAACGCCGGGACTGACGTGTCGCGCGTTACTTGGATAATTAGTGCGCGCGATCGTAATTATCGTCTCTTTCGCGAGTGTTGCGTTGTGCCAGTGCGAGACGAAGAAGTCTGAGAGGAGGCGGCGGCTTAGGAGAGGCATCGGGCGACCATCGAGTCATCATGTGGTGAGTACAGTTATTTATATATTATTCTCGTGTTAACTCCATTTCACGGACTGCTTTATTCTCCTATTCGTTTATCCGATTCGCCCGCTCGAACGACTCACAAGAGTACCGGCCGGAACATTTGTGCGTACGAAATAACGAAGGAAATCTTTGTGATATTCTACGAAAATTTACGTTCGCGGAAGATTTCGCTTGAAAGATTAATAACGTATTCGCGTGTATTTCGTATAAAATTAGTAGGTTTTCTTTTTCCTTAATGTTACTCGCGTCATTCAAGTATATTAATTTGGATTTTGCATTTGTGCGTTGCAGGTCGAGACGTGGTGTCGCAACTCTACTGTTGTGGTGCTGCGCGTCGTATCGGTGAGTGAGAAGTTAAGTTTATCTTTTAAATCGAAGTAATGGATCTATGAGAGCTATACGAAGTTCTTAGGAAATAAACGAATCAATGTGAACACCTGGGAGAAATGTACTGCTTGTATTATATTCAATATTTTTATTAATCAAACAAAACTGCGCATCTCCGGTTGTACGTAAATATATTATATTAAATATTATAAGAACGTACATTACAAATGTATAAAATATCATAGATTCATTACTTTCACTGAGAAAAATATCCTAGCCTATCTAATCGGATAATTCAATTACATATTAACAAACTTATACAATTCGATTACATTGTTTGATGAAAAATATAATCGATGTTTGGATTAAATTTTTATCAGTAACTGCAATTTCATTTGATAAATTTCATCAAATATATCCATAATTTAATCGAAAAATTTAATCAGAAAAATCGACGGTTAATTTTCCGTCGTAAACACTACTATCAATTTATTCAATGGCAATTTTTCTCAGTATTAAAATGGCTGGGCTGGAATCAGATAGATATTTAATCCTGAAAATCATGCATTTATTTGTCGATTTATTGCTTGTCTATGACACGCCGTTTTGCTGTTTAAAATATTTATCATAAAAATTCTCTATTTATAAATAAAAAACGGAAGAACAGAAATTATATTCTTATCGCATGGCATATTCTAACAAGTTTATTGAACAAAAGAATGTAATGAATACAATGATTACATTAATTTTAGCATACGCTTATTTTATTCTATTGATTCACCGCCCATCCATGTGTATGTTTTGTCGTGTGTTTGTTATGTGCTTCTCGATTTGTATCGATTTTGTATATCTTGTAAAATAATGTAATATGAGATTGGGTAAACATCGTGAACCCAAGGGAGTTTTAAATATAGATTGTATATAAATTATTATAATTTTAATCAATTACACTTTCGAGATGCATATTGCATGAACGCCATAGTTACACGCATCTTCGCGGTCGGTTTTCGCGGACGGTTTTCGCGATCGGTTTTGCATCAAGAAAGTTTCCTTGTTCATTTTTTAATTTTATCTACATTATTATTCATTCCAAGTTTTCGCGGGTGTTGTTAAAATCGGTACACATATAACGCGAAATAAAAGTTTTTGTATTTGACTTACAATTTCGAGTTGAAAGAACAGTCACAAAGAAACAATATATCCATATTTTCAATTAAATAACGGAATTAAATAACGGAATATTGCAAATATATAAAATCAATTTTATGCAGCCAGTTTACAAAGAATTATTTTTTAATTAACTTTTTTTATTGTGTATTCTTCGATACGATCGACGCTCGCTTATTATTCGAATCGAACGTAATATTTGTCGATAATGACAAATCGACAATGGAAAGAGTTTTTCTCTTTCCTATTGGTGTCTGGTCGAAATATGACCAGATTATATGGCCAGGAGCGACAAAAGGTAAGTCCAATCTGGCCCGACGAAAGAAGAATGCATTCAACGAAGTAAGTGGTCCTCATTGACCACGAATGTGAATTATGATAATATGTAAATTGTTTTTTTTTCGGGTGGGTTTTCTTGTTTATATTTTCTCGCATATACGCGAGATTCAACAAATCTAAATTAATTCTCAATCGCGCGCGAGTTAAAACCTCAATCATATCCTTAATAAAATCGCGGTTTAATTAAAAATTTGTAGATTTGTTAGGTTTCAACACGGGTAGGCAATAAAACGGATAGATAGGACTATAAATTGGAATACGGGTAGGCAGGGTCAGGGGGACATAATTTTATTGTTTCGTTATAGACGAAATAATTATATAACTAAATATAATACTAATAAATATAAAATATACTTATATTTATATATGCTTGTAAAGTACATTATAAAACAATAAAATCAATAACAAAAGTGTTAACAATCGTATTGTAACAAAAAGAGGACCGCCTTTGAATCGGTGGAAGGCTTCTTTGGACTGACCTCCCATACAGCACGCATGTCTAAAAGATATCTTTAAAACATCTTTAAGCCGTCTTTTAGACATACATATCTAAAAGACGACTTAAAGACGTTTTAAAGATGTATTTTAGACATGCGTGCTGCATGAGCTGCTTGTGTCAAATTAAATTTTAAATTTAATTCAAGTAATCTTGATTGATGGATTTTCGTTTGCATATTTACAGTGAGAGCTTTTTGTTTGCACATTAATAAAAAATGTTATACATAATAGGAGCATACGTATATTACATTTCATGTAGTATATAAGCTACATATTTCACATTGTAATTTCCTGTTATTAAACGCATATCAAATGTTTACGTAATGCACTCTCTTTCTCTTTTATAAAGTTATTTTGTGAGAAAAATTAAGTCATGATTAAAAGGAAACGATTATTGCAAAGGAAAGAGGACCGCCGATAGAAATTGGCGGGGGGTGGTGGAGGGCCTCTTATACAAATTGCTCTGTTTTTATCGGATAACATTTTAACTTAAATCTACGCCCGAGGTAGTATTTCACTGTGTAATTAGAAAAATGCAAAGTTTAATTTAACTAGAATACAATCGTAATGGTTAGCCGATGTGAACGCTCGCAATCTTGTACAAAAGAGAATGTTTAAATAATTTTCTAGCTAATAATTCTCTATCGCCAAGAGTATTAAACATTCGAGTGTCTATAATCGTTTGCGTAATGTTTGAAAAATTATATTATCTCAAATGATATTGATTGGACTACGTATTAATAAAATATTTATAAATGGCTGCATTAAAATTCCCATTCGGTATTATATTACAGCTGAAACAGAAACCCATTGTTTTACCATATAATAACATCATTAATCTAATAATTTATGTACATCTCCGTAATATTGTTATTATCTGGGTAATGCGCTAATGGATAATAAAATAATTCTTCGTTACTCGATATTCATTATGCCTCCAAATGACTAATTTGGTAGCCTGACGTATGTTGAAACGCGCGTAATTGAGTAATTAAAGAAAATCGAGGTTTATACTTAAATTGAAAAAAAGAAACGAGATAAAGAGTACGTCAAGGATACGTCACGCTGGCAAATTGGTCATTTGGAAGCGTAACGAATATCGAGGAACGAAGAATTATTTTATTATCCCTATTAGCGTATCTTTATTTAGTTTGCAAGGAATTCAATAATATTTAACAGATTATTACTAGTGCGTTATGTATTCAGGCTTTTCGAAGTGAAATTAAGAATTTTTTTTAATCTTATCAAACTTGCATTGTTTCTTATTTTTACGGTATCAAAAAATTATTCTGGCAAGCGCACTTGCTTAAAAAAAATAATAAAGAAATAAATACGCCTAAATTTAAACTGTAATAAATTTAAATGTAATAAATTTAAATGTAATATACGTATGCATCTTGAGTAAAAACTTGTACAGGCTTTATCTCGTTTCTTTTTTTAAATTTAAGTATTGACCTAGATTCTCTATCATTATCCAATTACGCGCGTTTTAACACGCGTTATACTAGCAAATTAATAATTTGGAAGCATAACTGTTCTCGTACGGGACGATCGGAAATAAAAGTGTTGACCGTCCCTTCCAATTGGCACGACCGCGCCTCCGAAATCTGGCGCCCTTCGGTACATGGGCGTAATCGAGTACGGTGGGCGGCCGACAGATGGCGGCGGCCGAGCGGGAGCCGCGGCGTATCCGCGCATTATAGCCACCGCATTGGTTCGGCCACGGGCAGTATGGCTTCGGCTGCCGGTACGTGTGCATTAGTGGTGTTCCGTGGCATCGCACCGCGTCCTCGAGATCGCGGGTGTGCGTGCTCCGTTTCGTGAGAGAGAGGAGGACGAGTCTCGCGGTTAGCGGCTAGGAGACGCGTCGCCGGGCATCGGCCGTACGGACGGCAGGCGTGGGACGCGAAACGAGTGCGAACCAGCGGGGCCAGTCATGCGGCGGAATGTCAAGATCGCGTTGCTCCTGTCATGCGCGTGGATGTTCGCCTTTGTTTACTATTACCACACGTCACGGGACACCAAGGTAAGATATCGTTCCACTGTCAGCTGATCGCGGGGGCAGCGAGATTTCGGGATCGGCGTTCGACGATTCGGGTGCCCGTCGCGCGAATCGCCGCTTCGGAGCGCGCGACTACATCGCCCGCTCGCTTCGCGCGAGTCAAAGTTTCCGGCTGTTTTTACATTCTTATCTCCCGGGAGGCAACCGAGAAAAGCAGCCCTTCCTTAGGAGCATCGCGATCGGAACGCGAAATTTTCACAACGCGCTGCGATAAAACGACGGCTTCCCAGAGATACGTCGCGAGACACGTGACGAAATATTCCAAGTTGCCGAACGACGCGGAGACGGACTGTCTATCTTGCCCTTCGTAGGCGTGCGCGAAATAAAATTTTCCTTCGACCACCTCTCCACATATTTTACGGATAGACATTTCGGCGTAATATCGAGTCCGCGAAACGGCGAGAAACGTGCTCGTTCGCGAGATAAAAAGTTACGCGCGTACGCCGCGAAATCGTGGAAACACGCACACGTACATTTTCGCTAAATTTCTCTTGCGGTTTGCATATAATTTTCAAAAGCATTCTGTATGTACGCTTCTGGGATTTTCATCTCCCAGATTTTTAGCGTGCGTTTAAACGCATCATGCGCCGAGCGAGCACCGGTTACGTAAACTTGTTGCAGTTTTTACGTCGTACTTTCGTAAACAAAACTGATTTTTGCAGCGCGCGTTCAGCTTCGTATCATTCGACTCCTTTTAGTACGAAAACAATATGTGGAAAAATAAAAATTCATAAATGCACGCGCGTATCAATATTCCCCTTTCAAGCTGCGCGCAACATTAATTATGCATTATTACATTACGCTTGTTGTTAATTAAACGCGTTTCCCGTTTAAAAGAACGTCCGCCCAACGTTCCGCGCGCGTTCTTATTTATATGAAAATAAGCTTCGCTGTACTTGAAATCCCGTGCGACACATATGTCGACCCCCTACGCACGCATTACGGTATCAACTTCCACGCGGAACCCGCGGAATAATATCGCGGTGTGTGTGTGTGTGCGGCGTAGGGGAAAAAATCGATTGTCTTCATCCCCCCCTGATGGGGTTCGTTGCCTCTATTTGTCGATACATTACGTCGCGATGCGTTACGACCCCGTGAATCAATTCGACTTCAGTTTTTTTATCCCCCTTTGACTTTTAACGATCCGCATTTATAGTCGTCGCGTCGTTGAATCTCGTCGTTGGCGAGTATATTGAAAATAAGATACTCGGAGTGAACTTTTTCTCTCGAGATGCAACCCCGATGGTCGCGTCTTGATGGAAGATTAACCGAGAATTTGTTCCGTTGATTGCGAGATGCAATACGATTACACCCGTGAAATCCGACGTCGAAAATATTGTTGTTTGACCGTTGTGGAATACTGTGAGTTTGTAATAGTTTATTGCAGACTTGGTGTTATTAAATACTCGCTTTCGAGTGGTAGTTTGTGTTATTAGTAAATGAGAATGAATGAGTTATTACGAGACAAACTGCACCCGAGTCTTTTAATCGCGATAACAGATGAGACGTAATAAATAAATCGCACACAGCGACTTATGAGATTGCGTTAGATTTTGAAACGGGCTTTAACTGAATTGTTCGACAAGATCGACACGTCCGTAATTACGGATCTTCGAGACTCGATCGCGTGACGGAATTGAATAGATTAAAACTTTTTATACAACGCGGAATTAAACAGCTGAAATTCCGAGAGATAAACCGCTGAGGGCATTGCGGTGTACAGATTTACAGCATTACTGGGCATTACTAGGCATTTTTGGGGCATTAGTTTGGGCATTAGGCCTTGCTGGGGTATTATAAAAATAAAATAAGGTGAAACAAGATAAAATAAGACAATAAGACAACGTAATGCCCACTGGGCATTCGTGGGCATTGATGTACATGTTTTTGGTTATAATATTATTAAAAATGTTTACTGGAAAGAAAGGAATACTTCACGTAAACACTTATTAATTATATCTCGCTTTATATTATTAATGAAAAAGTTACAATTTAATAATGCATTACACTGGCCGACAATATATGACTTTTTCTTGTAACACGAATACTTAAAAATTACAAAAACTCGAAAGTAACAAAATTAAGCTATTTCACTACAAACAAAGTGAATGTGAAATTTTATAGCTTGTGTAACTGTCACAAAAAAACAAGACCCGATCGAAACAAAACAAATACGGTTTCGTAATAACAACAGATGGAGATATAAAAATTTTCTTGACCAGTGTTATTGGCACTAATTAGTACCTCATAGTTGAGTTTAAGCTGATTATTTTAAAGATCGCGATTAAAAGCTTAAGCATGATCTTTATATAATATTTTCTTTATTTTATTATAAACTGAAGTGGATATATACGAATTTATAATGTGCAAACTGATAATATGTAGAAGAAGGAACGAGCGAACTTGAGCACAAAACGATAGTAGCATTGAAGCGAAAGATCAATGACCTATCAACTTCATTGTTTAATATAGTGCGCGGTCGCGATTCTGGTACCGGATGCGATCAAGTGATGCATTCACATGTTACATCGAATTTGAGAAGCGAAGCCCGGGGTGGATGTAACGTTAAACATAATAAATGTTTAATGTAATGTGAATAATGACGGAATGCGACGGCCTCTGCCGCGGTATCCGTTTCGATTGGCTACTCTCGGCGTGATCGCGTGCGAAACGAACAGTTTGTGTTACTGCAAAGAGTGAACGTTTTATCGGACAAACTCGGACTGTCGCGGATTTTCCGCCGCGATCTACAGCTTGTGAAGTTTGAGGGCAAAAGGGACCGGTATATATTTTATATGAATTACACATCGATTGAATATCCGAAAATTCTGTACGCTAATGCGTAATATCGCCCCCAGGGTAATTTCTCGTCAAATCGTTGTTACAACGTTGGTGAAATATACTTTTCGCACCGGAGCCGCAACACGCGCATAAATGTCTCTGCTTTACGATATCAGACATATACGTTAAATATACATTTCGATTCGAGAATAAATGGTAGTTGTTGCACCGACGTAAAACTCGGGTCGCAATCTGTCAACTGGGGCGCCGTTGCACGAAATAATTAGTATCGTGTCGCTCGCATAATGAAATTTATACGCGCTAATTTACAAGCCGTTCTCCCGTCCATAACTCGAAATTGTGCGGAGAGCGACTTGAATTAGATTAGAATGGATTAGAGCTACAATTAAGTATGCGAAGTTATGCCTCAATTTGCACCAGCGAGTTACGTAATTATGAGAAGTTGCGCCAAATTACTTAATCCATAAGAGAACACGTCGTCTCCCCAGACTTGCGTCCTTCTAAATTTCAAGAACACGCGCGAAGCGATTACGTCGGCTTTACGGCTCCCCTGGAATTCCCCGCGTAATATCGCGCGTAAAATCGCGGGAAAAGAGTGGAAAGCCGATGCCGTAAATAAATACATATGTCGGAACGATAATAAGACACGCGTCTTACAATACGCGTTACACGCGAACAGTATTTATACTAAATTTTACTCGGAGGGCTATTTTGAGCGCCAAGTGTGCTCGGTAAAATTTTGGCATACATTATCAAAGGCACGGCCGCTTCTGGTACTCTACTTGTACGTCGGCCAAGAGACCCGCGCGCGGTCGATCACCCCGAGAATCGAGATCCGTTTCGCAGTCGCGATGGCGGCGGATGCCTGCTCGTGACAAAATCATATTAACACGCGGAGCCATTTATCCCGGGATTCGCGGTTCAGCGATTGACATATATCGTTCGTCATTGCCCGAATGGACTTGAACGCGCGCACGCGCGCGCGCGCCTTGAATATCGGCCTCCCGCGAGCACTGAATAAACCCATAAAATCTCACGAGCGCTTATTTATCGTCATTGTCTCGGGCGTCACATGCCGACACATGCGGTCTAGCAGCCAGCTTTCCCGAATAGCAAACTTTGGGGGGTACCTATCAAAACTTAACTTCACGATCCCTCCGGCGTATCTTCGAAATTGTAAAGTTTCGGAGCGCAAACGCGACGATAAATTTATCTCTGTTTATATTTTTATGATATGAAGGAAATTACCCGAGTTTAGTCGACTGCGCGAAAAATGAGGTAATTACAAGAGAGCGCACGGTTTGTTTCATTCATGACACGTGAAGACAAGCCGTATACAAGCATACAAGCACGCACGCGGTGCGGCAGCTGGCATAACGTCCGAGCCATTCGTGACGTGATACGCGTCCGGGTAAATGCATTTAATCGTAAACATCAAGCCTTTCTGTTACGAGAACGTTACGACTTGTAACGCAGATATTTTGAGCTCGCGGTGAATTTGACCGAGCTAGATACAATTATTTACCTCCGTTCGTTCGTGGAGGCTTTCAATATGTGATAAAACGCGAATCGAATTTTGCAAGGAATAATATTTCGCGTTTACTTTTTGCCAAACAAACTGTGTGAGTTTATTCGGTCTTCCATGGTTGACGCTGGTCAGATTTTTGCATAGCTACATCCATTTATCTTAGATGCGGAAAGAGCAGTAAAGAAGGATAAAACGCGAATAACGCAGATAATATGAACGAATGGCGCGGGGCTGCTTTCCTATATAAGGCTGTTTGTTGTTAAAAGGCCACGGAAGATCGATCGAGGCATTGTAAGTCTCATTCGGATCTTCTGTTTTTCCCGAGAATTTGCACTGTTTTCCTCTATCTCAGCGAGCGTTACGTTGAACAATACCATCGCTCATTAAACAATATTATTGTTCACTGAATAATACTAGCCCAGAATTGCCAGTCAGTTTAATTGTTCTTACCGATTTTTCTCTACCGCTCGGCGCAATTGCAACTGTAAGAGAAATTTCTCGTATGACGACTTTTATTAAATTTTGAAAATTTTTATTTTCCCGCGACTTAATTGAATTTCTAATTTTGCAGTTTTATTTCTATTTAATAAATAATTTATATCGCGCAATTTTGGAAATTCCTTTTATCCTCGTA